GATGTTCTTATATCCAACTTCATTCAGTCTAGTATCTCTTCAGCATACAGATAAGTCTTACATTCAGTTAATTATTGCAATAAGTGCATGCTCATACTTTCATTTTATTGACAAATGTCTGTATCATCACATTGCTATGCCTCTCACAAGGCTCTTACATTGTTATCATTTTCATTATACTGTAAGTATCACAAGAATCATGTCCTCTATCATTGCATTTCTCAATATATTTTTCTAGACCCGAGCAATGGAACAAATGTTTCTAGAGTTAATAAAGAACAAAGGTGTAAGAGTCTAACTTCATCCCATAAATGATAGCAGTTAAATCTTTTAGTCTTTAGTTCCCTAATAAACAACAGAGAGATCACAACCTGTTGATATGTGTGATGCTGAATTAATTAAAGTAGCATTATTTGAGTTCCACAAATACATGAGTAAGAAACATGAGACTGCAGAAGTTCAATCTTCAGATAAAGTGAAATTTAAAGAACAATGACAAAAATCAAGTGACATGGTGGAGCCAATGGCATTCTTTGAGCTATTGGCCTGGATTTTCTGCTCTAATGGTCAATTTCCCATGAGGTCAGTACTGATCACCTGTACCATGCAGTGTTTAGACCCGAAGGGAAGTGTTACCCTCCACACTGGCCATTTCAGGCTTTGTCTGTTTCTAGAATAATGTCTCTTATGATTCTTAACCTTGCCAACTCTCATCTAAATTCACAACTTACAGTCAAATAGCAAGAGTAGTTCATAAATAATGTATTTTTCTACTTCCAAGATGCCTTGTGGGCCATGCATCAGGGTATTTCTTTGAGTTGTGTTACTCTGACTATGGTTATGCCTTAAGATTGTCTTGTCTTATTGTGAATTATTATTTCTAAATTCCTAAAGAAGTATGAGTAGATTTAGGGTACCTTAGTAATGAGAAATATTAAAAGAGATAATCACATCCATGATGCAGTATATGGTGCTTTTGATTTTTTCTTGTAGACACGGAAGAGATTTTACTCCATTTATAAACACAAAAAACACTTCTATTCATTTCCTTTCACCCCAGTGGTTGCTCATTGTGCATATATTCCCTGTCTGCTTATTTATCTCCAAGTACATTAGAGACTAATCCTGTGTTTGGTTCTCTCTGCCTTTCATGAACTCAAGGACAGGTAGAAGAGAAATAGAAGTTGGCATTTTTGTGAGACTTTTCCTGGGGAGACACAACACAAACTTCTATTGACTCCAGATAGAGAACCAAAGACAAGCCAGATTAATGATTACACCCGAGTCCAACTTGATGAACCAGTGAGTTTATTCAGATTACTTACCGGAATATGGATAAGGCATTGCTTGGAAAAGAGCAAGTCAAAGACAGCTAGGTTACTTCAAGCTCATGCCAAGACAGTGGGTGATGTCTTGCCCAGGAAGGCTGCATACATAGAGCTCTTTATGTGTCTTACAAACACTCAATGCATCAGAGAATCTCATCTCCAGTGATTGTTGAATGCCTCTATAACTATGAGAAAGAGACCCATGACTCTTAGAATTTTCAACTTCCTTAGATTTGTAAAGTTTGTTTATTTATTGAGTCTTTGGAACTACTCCCTCCTTCGTGGAGGCAATATTTTAACTTAGAATTTTTCAGGCCTTAAGAGCCTCACTCACAACAAGACAGATATTCTAACTATGAGGAAATTGCTATGCAACAATTCATCCCTTCCTCTAGCTCTTACATTCTTTCTGTTCTCTTTTATACGATGTTTCCTAAGCCTTGGAGGGGTATTGTAGATGGCCACCTACCATCTTAACTAGTGTTTGTTACTAAGGATTGAACTTGGGACCTCTTGCATAAAAGGCAAGTGCTGTACCACTGAGCTTTATTGCCATCTAGATGTGCATCTACAGACTACAGGTAGGCATTGGAGCACTATGTCACAGCAACAGTCACTTCTCAGGGCTTCATCAGTGGTTATGAGTCTTTATAATAACCCAAAAGGAAGTTTTGTTCCATGACTGAAACTGACAACTACTGACAGTGGCCTGTGAGTATAAGCACAGATATTTCAAAAGCATTTTGATAGTGATATATCACGCATTTAACAAAACAGTAGTGGTGGCTTTCCCACTGAGACTTATACCCTTTCCATCCACAAGTTTTTGTTGTAATTTACAGTATCAGACATGAATTTTCTCCTGTGGAGAAAGTCTTAAATTCAACCAGAAAGTTATTGATCATGCCCACAGTCATCATGGCACTATGGCACTAGCAGACATCTACTGCATGGTATTTTGGAACTCTAGCATTCAAGGATCATAACTCAGTAGGACTGTTGTTGACAATCACAGCATTTGATAACTTCAAAAGTGGGTTGTTAACAACTAGTTCTGACATACACTAACAAGAGTGGTACTAGTCTTTATGGTTTGTGGGGCCTTGGGGGCCTCCCTGGTCGGTAACTCATAGAAAGTTTGTAGATCTCTGGCACTGTGATTTTAATTCCTCAACCCGATAGTAGTTTCCATGAGTGTCCTTTTCCAACTATTCGGGGTGACCCTGGTACTTAATTTGTTTTGTTTGTTTATTGAGACTGGATCTCACCATGTGACACTGACTGAACTGTGTAGACCAAGATGCCATTGAACTTACAGAGATCCATCTGTCTCTGTCTCCTGAGTACTAGGATTAAACTCGTGCACTACCATACCAGGATCTGTACTCTTTATCTATAATTCCAATAACCCATTCTTTCTCTGAAAATATGCATGCCACCTTTGTAGGATTTGATTCTATGTTCCCCAGAAAGAGGCTTCACCAAAAATAAAACCTTCAAATCCAACCTTCAATTAAATAATCTATTTGCACTGTTACTGCTGTGGAGCCAGAGATAGATTCTATTAGTTGTGACAGTTTATTAACAACCAGCAACTTCTTTTCAGGCTTGATATACTGAGATTCTGCACCATCCAAGACCAAGACCAAAACCTCTTGTTCACATTGCTATCCCTTAGCTACAGTCTTTTGAGATTCTGGTGTCCTTTAACATGGAGAGACACTGGGGTTAAGAGACACACAGATATTTAGCTTCTCCTACAAAGATCTTAGTGTGTTCAAAAGCATCTTGCACCTTTCTGTCTCATTCTGTATGGAACCCATTTTTATAAAGCCATATAGAAGGTAGTCAACTTGGGGAGGACATGATATGAAAGTCCCAGGAGCTCCCAGAATGCCTGTTGCCCTTGTAAATGTCCCATCATTGGAAGTATTTTTGCAATGAATTTTGTCAGATATCATTCCCATGTTAGTGGATCATAATACTTCCAAGAGTTTTACAGATGTGCTTTGCTCTTGCACTCTGAGTGCCTTCATCTGCCCTCTTGCTTCTTCAGGCACATCTGTATGTCTTTTGACTTTTCTAAATCTATAAAACACTTGGAAGTTAGCATTATGCCAATGATATAATAAGAACATTTTACAGGTAATATGCTGGATGGCAAATCAAGGTCCCAATCACCCCATGACATATAAAGGAACTGGGGGGGTACTCAGAAGGTCTACTGTTGGTCATTACAAGTAAATGAACACTGATCTTGAAATCCAGCATCTAAGGAAATAAAAGAGGGGGTGAAAGTGGTAGTAAGGTCTAATATAGTTCAAAAGATGCAATCGCTTATCTGGGTTCTTCATCTTTGTATAGCTCTTGGTCTATGCAAGTTTACTTGTGTTATGAAAATCAATATGGGTGAAAAGGTTATGTACAGCAGCAGAGGCAGCTGCATCACCAAACACTTACTGGGGAAAACCACAGCTCTAACGTGTTCTGCATGACTTGGAGGCAGCAGACAGGTCAGATCTCTTCTTCACAAACTGTTTACCATTCCTGTAACCTTAGGGAAGAGCCCCCAAGAACTTGCAATGTTGAACTTCCTGGGATATGTGGATTGTTTACTCTGAGTCTCACATGAACTTCCCACTCTGCTTCCCCAAGGAAGCATTTCCACTTAGAGCTCCCTAAGCCTTAAAGGGCCTTCCTTCAGGATGGGAGATTTCAATTCTGAGGGAATTGCTATACAATATCATCCTACTCAAATGGTATCATCTAGGATGTTAAGTTTCAAAATTACAGAAACCAAAAAAATGAAACTTAGTATCCAAGAAGATTCTTTTGGAGATTCTGTGGGAAGGACATGGATTCTCCTTGTTCTGAAAGTAACATCCACCTCTACCTACTAGTAAATAACACTAACATAAATCAATCAAGCCAATCACTTACTTATAAATTGAAAGTTAATGAAATTTCCTTAGACTATTGTATTAGCAATCATTATTCGGAGAAAGCGCCTCTCCAAATTAATACTCAGACAGTTGCCTAGTGAGCACAATATTAACCAAATGTAAACAGTCTATAGCTCTGGGAAGACTGTATCAAATACTAAAAAGCCAGGCCATCTGTTGTAGAATAATATACCTTCTAATTTTAGTATATGTGCTGCCAAAGTGAGCACAAATAATATACTTTCGTAATGACTTAGTTTCTCTAAATATAGTTTTACTGCTACACATTACATGTTATCACAGCCAAACTTAGCTCCTGCCTCCCTCTACATAGGTGTCTGTACACACTTTCTTTAGGTCAATTTTTTGTGTGTATGCTACAAAGAATTGAACCAGGCTATTATTATGCATTCTAGACAAATACTCTACCACTGAACTGTATCCCTAGGCCTATTCCAGACCAATGAAAATATACTCATTCATATTTGTGTTAGTGTCACTTACTATTAGGTAGAGATGGAACTGTGGCACAATATATCTTTTAATATTTAGCTTAGAGAGAGAGAGAGTATACTAGTTTTTATCATTTACAGTGCTTCAGCTATTCATTAAGTGTGCTATATATTTTGTATATTTAGCTATATTGCTTGAAAAATAATTTGTAGAAAACTACTGAAACCAATCGAATGACTTTTAAGTCACTCAAAATGATTTTATCCTTTCTTTCCAGGTTGTAAAAATGATGATCGTTGTTGTGGTGACATTTGCCATCTGCTGGCTGCCCTACCACATTTATTTCATTCTCACTGCGATCTACCAACAGTTAAACAGGTGGAAATACATCCAACAGATCTACCTGGCTAGTTTCTGGCTAGCAATGAGCTCAACCATGTACAACCCCATCATCTACTGCTGTTTGAATAAAAGGTAAAGATAGATAATACTGCTGGCACGGGGCTCTTACCATTTCCACCTTCCTTGGAAGCACAAAATATCGCACCTTAAAACTTAGGGACTGAAAAGTCTCACTACATCAGTGGTTCTCAGCCTTCCAAATGCTGTGGTGACCCCCAACCATAAAACTATTTTCATTGCTATTCCATAAACATAATTTTGTTACTGCTATGAATCATATTGTAAATATCTATGTTTTCCAATGGTCTTCAGCAATCCTTGTGAAAGGGTCATTAAATCCCAAAGGCTGTTGTGACCCTCACAGGTCAAGAACCACTGCACTAGAGGTTTTCACTAACTGGTTTTTACATAGGCCAACTTCTCCCCCCTTTAAGCCTTCAGAATTTTATCTACCAGTATAAAAGAAAACCTCATGAGTGAATGTTTATCCGCAATCTCAAGGACATGAGACTCTACAAAGAAATAAAAACCACTTTCTATGAGAGGAGTAAATAATGGCATACATGATGGACTCTGTTAAGGAAGTTCCCCTACCAATATTCTTCAAAATGGACATTACTGTCAAAGCAAGGGGAGTTCCTGTCATTCTCATAAGTCTTGCAGGGTGACTAAGAGTTGTAGTTTCCATGGAATGGCTGGTTAAAATGTTGGAGAGGTAAGTAAAAGATCCTTTTAAAGAAATAACATCATTTGTGCCATGTGTGATGGCACATACCTGTTGTCTCAGTAGAGACTGCGACAGGAGGATTGTAAATTTTGCATTAAGCAAAGCATACAAACTGAGAGCCCGTCTTTAAATAAAGTAGGAGCATTTACAAACAAATTTAATACTATAAAGAAGACTGTGTCCTCCATTGTTTAAAAAATTAAAAAGCAAACCCCACCTTGTTGGTGTATTGAACTCAAAGAAGAGTAGGATGTAGCTCCACATAGTTGACAATTCCCTCAATAACCCCATGGATTTTATACACCAATAGAACTGGTTCTTTATGTAGCTGCACAGTCTAACTTCCCAGCTTGGGAAGACACCAAGAGATCTGTGCCTTAAGTTGGTTAAATACTTACTTAATTCTTTTTAAACTAATTGTATAAGCCAGACCTCAATTTAAACCACTCTACAAGCAATAGATCTGTTCTGAATCAACTTCATTTAATGATGTACAATTACAAGGATTTCACATGTTTATATATGATTAAATAAAATCACTAAAATTAACAATTAATTCTAATATTAAATGAATCTAATTTACAAATGTGCAATTATTTCTGGAAAATCCTTTCTGAAATAGAGTATGCTGTTTTAAAATACTTTAACTTGCCAGCCTTGTGCAATTAGTTATATAAATATATGAGATCATTGCCAACAAGCAGTTTTCCACGTTGATAAGCCCATGCCATGCTTTTCCAAGTTGATGAATTATTTCCCCAATGATAGAAATGGTTTTCTTTGAACAGGAACTCACAGGACTGATTCCATAGCACAGAATCAAGCCCCTGTAAAATTTGACTCAATTCAAAGCCAGCGTTAGTATACATGGCTTTTCGGGGGCAGCTGAAGGAAATGCCACTTGAAAATGTCTTTTCTTTCCTGCTTCTCAGATTCCGTGCAGGCTTCAAGAGAGCATTTCGTTGGTGTCCTTTCATCCAAGTCTCCAGCTTTGACGAGTTGGAGCTCAAGACTACAAGGTTTCATCCCACGCGGCAAAGCAGCCTGTACACTGTGAGCAGGATGGAGTCGGTGACAGTGCTGTTTGACCCCAATGACGGGGACCCAGCCAAGTCTAGCCGCAAGAAACGGGCAGTGCCCAAAGACCCGAGTGCCAACGGCTGCTCTGGCAAAGATTCCAAATCTGCCTCCACCACGTCAAGTTTCATCAGCTCACCCTATACCTCTGTGGATGAATATTCCTAAATCCATGTCCCGAGGTGAGGGCTGTTATGAAGCGTAGGTTCCCCCATTCTCCTAGCCATGTCAAGTCCTGTTCTAGATACTTTGGGGAAGCAGAAGGACAAATATTAGGTAGGGATACTTAACCTGAGAATATAAGTATAACAAAAACTAGCAACATATCAACCAGCACAAAAAAAAATCCTAGTCTTCAATTAATTCTTTAAAAACTTTAGGATCACATGCAACAAGCACAAAATGTGAATCGTAAAAATGCCCTAAGTGTCCAGGGCCTGTCATTTAACAATGGCAATGCACCTTTGCGACACAGAAATGGCATAAAGGTTTTCTACGAGATTAAGACCTCAAAATACATTCCTGAGCAAAGGGAAACAACACCTATATAAAACAAGTTCTGTACTTCTGTGAAAACAAAGGGCAAATGGCTGATTTTCCCACAAGAGTAATGGATAGAGAGTGGTGGATAGTCAACCTCAAAGAATAGGAAGATCTGGAAAACTTTGCTCAAGAAAATTCATTTTGTAGAATGAAAACTTTCAGAAATTCCCTCCAAGGCGTTTAGAAGCAAAGGCTATATGGTCAAATCATTGCCCAAATATACATGATTTACTCTTGATTATTGTTTTCCAAGGAAATAACATCAAAAGAAACAAAGAATCATCACTTAATTTTGGTTACTAAGTGTTTCAAGTACTAAAATAAGTTGCAGTCAAATTTAGAACCTTAAAGGACAAAGAAAATTCTTAGGATCCTCTTTATTTTATTGTTTGCATGTTAAAAAAATAAGTAAAGTGTAAAACACTAAAAATACTTTATAATGCAGAAGGAAAGACTCCCATTTGCCTCTGTAACTCACTACCTGGATGTAGGTAGCAATTTAACGGTACGTATAAGTTATCAAGATAGACACTAGCATCTCCAAGTCCCCAAGCCACTTGCTTCCCACTGTAGAACAAAGAAAAAAATCACAGTCATTGCTTTATTTTATATCATGTCGTCCTCCTCCTGTTTTCTCCCTGGGGGGAAAAACAAAGGCCAGGGGGAAATAACACAATGTATTTCAAGTGTAAGTCAAGAACAGAATGATATGTTGAAAAATATCAAGATACGTATTAAATCAGAGAAGACTCAGATCTGTGCATCTCTGGCCAGAAAAGGAGTCAGCACAATAGTCAGGGTATATGAGCTACTTACAGATGAGGAATAGGACAGTGCACATGTCTCCAGGAACATAATTCTGCTTTTCTGTGCTTAGATAATGGAATTCACTAAGAAAGAAACGAGGTAGTGACACTTGTATGTGTGTATGTATGTGCATATGTATCCCTTTCTAGAGCTTGTCTGACTTATCTAATGTTTATTAGTATTTTCCAGTCTTCTTTCTTGGTCTTATAATTTCTTCCTTCATGAATTTGTGTTTGGAATATATTGTGACATTTATCTGTTTCAATTATGGGATATGTATGATTTTCTTTAATATACAAGCATGTTTTCAAGATCCAGAACAAAATAGACAACACCTGAAAATATAGAATGTGTCTTCCAGATTCTGTTCCTTACACATCATTTCTGCTTCAATTACTACAACTATTTGTCCAGAAATCACAAACTCTCTGGGAATGAGATATACAAACTTGTATTTCCAAACATTCAAGTGGGTTGCTAAAACTATTTGTCTAAAATAATTGCCTCTAGCACCTTTTTCCTTGTTATGCTCTACCAACATAAGCACCAAATACTTTTTTCAAGGGTAGTAGGACAAAAACAATTATCTGATGATAAATCATGGTTGATTATCGTGACATTAGTCTCTGGGCCTCCTCTCCTTTTTAAAGTCCAAACCAAAGAAATATCTGATTGCTACACAATTTCAAGTGTCTAAACTACCAAGTCATATATGTTTGAGATTACTTTAATAACTCCAACCAACAATCACACAACCAGATATATATATATATATATGAATGTGCAGATACACACTGTCAAAATGAACATAATGATTAACATAAGGATTAAATTCAAAACTAAAACTGAAATATCAGGTGGTCATACAGGCTTGCCACAAAATCATTCAGTGACATCTATGGAGCATTGGGTGCATGTTTCAACGTAGCAACTGTACTAAGTATTTCACTGTTTGAATATAGTGTTTAAAATGTTCATTCTTAAAACATGTGTTTATCAAATGTAAAAGTGTCATGAGAAAACCTGATATGTGTCACTTTCTTTTTAAATTTATGAATACATATATACTTATACTCAATGTACATGAGAGCATATTCAGTCTTGGAATACGAATGTGAAGTTTGGCCTTCAAATTCGATGCAGTCAGTCACCCCCAAAACACCTTTGGAAATGTAACTCCTGGCTTTCACATTAGGGAAGTTCAGTAGAATTTTCTAAGAGCTCTCTGAGTTGACTGTTGCTGCAATCAGTTGTCATTACTTTCGTTTGGATTTTTTTTTAGCAAATCTGAAGTCACTTTGTTCAGCAACCCTCCCTTCTCTGCTGGAACTGTCGCCCCTGAGACTCACACACTAGCTTTTTAGGGCCTTGTAAAGCAAACTGACATCATTTGCTCAAAGCTCATGGTTAAAGCAAGAGTAAGAGACAGACATTTTTAAGCTTAGAAGTTTAAATAACGGGAGTAAACTGAATATGTGGATAGGAAAAGGACAATAAACTATTTTCATTAAAGTTCAACACAGAACTGCCAAGTTAAGCACATGGAGGTTGGCTTCCCCGGTGCCAACTTTAAAGATGATCTTGTTTGCATATTTGACAGAGTTTACATGACTTTGCCTCCAAAACCCGATCTACCCTCTAATGTTAAAGTTCAGACCAAATCTTTTTCACTGTTCACAAACACTGACTCGGAATCCTAGACAGGTGGCTAAAATATCCCAAGTTTTCATATTTTAAGTATCGGGGGGGAAACTAAAATAGTTGGAGGGAAATGTAAAAGAGCAAAATTGACCAGTATTTTAAGTTTCTCTTTTGAAAAAGAAAAAAAGTGAATTCGAAATCAGTCTCTCTTTTTGTTCTTTACATTCGTAGGAAGGAAAGCAACAGCCCCAGTTACTATAGAGTCCACTCTAATGTATGTTTTGGCGCTTCTGTAAACGCTATTCCACCTCCCAACAGTAGGAAGCTGACATTTCTAACCCAGCAGCCAATTCGCATTCTCTCTGGCATCTGGCCATCTCTTAGAAACAGGTACCTGACTGACTTCAAAGAGCTTCCGTCCCTGCACCCTCGCACCGTGCACCAAATGCCAGAAGGCTTGATATCAAACCCAAGAAACACAAAATAAATGTGAAAACAGTGCTGGCCAGCTCAGAATCTGGACTGGATTTTTGTGACTGCACAATTCCCTCAGAAAACCTCTAATTGGTGCCTGGACAACTATTCCATCAAATAAAATGGCAACAATTTAACAAATGACAGGAACAGCCAGCTTCCTTTGCCGTTGACCATGTGCCAAAAGTTAAGGAACTCAACCGTGGATCTGGCCGTGCAGAATAATAAGATTGGAGTAAATTCCCTTCAGGCCAAACAAGAATTGAAAAGATATCCATTAGGGTTATACAAGGTCACTAATTGTCTTGTTTAATATATATTAGTGAATAAATCTGTGTTTATAAGAAGTTCACATATATACAACTTGTAATTAGTGAATAAAGTATTTTCATGTTGTAATAATTATACTAGGTATATTTAATAAGTTCATACTCTTTGCATATGTGGTAATAAAAGGCAAAATCAATTTCTCTGTTTTAATCTACATTCATTAAAATTACATGAAAATTGTTAATTTTCTAATCCCTAATATCTTTCTTTGCAGCTAGTAAAATACATCCTACAGAATAGTCTATGAATTCTGTGCATACTCAGACAACTGTCTGTCAAATTATATTGTATTTTCCTGCTTGTCTTTCCTCCTGAAAAAAGTTTTCCAAGTTGCTTTGATTCAGGAAAGAAAGGGTATTTATAAGAAGCAGAGGTATCAAAGAATAGAGACTATTAGGGAGAGCAGGAGCAGAGGAATTGAGTTACTGCCGGTGTGTGACTGAGGGTAAGATATTGAGTTTCAGAATTGTGGCCTCCAGCCTTTCTAACTAAGACACTAGGATTGGGTCCAAGCCTACTACCAGCTCTCTAGCACTTTGAGAAAAACCATTATCTGTTCTAAGTCCACTTAATTTATCAATACAAATAGGAAATAACTATTTCCTTATCATTTGGATGTGAGGATTATTCACTGATACATGAACATGACAGAGATAAACAGAGAAGTGGTTTTAAAACATCTCATTATTGCACATGCAGGGAAACGGGAAAGCCTTTGTTAGCCTGAGTCATTGTTTCCCTATGCTAAGCTCTTTCTGAGTCTTTCAGTTACTAAAACATAGGACTATTTCCCAAGCTCCAGGGTCCCATGTGCTGTGTATGAGTGTTCCTAGATTTCATTCTTGTACCCTGGACCCTGGGGTGGGAAAACTGCACAAGTGAAGAGTTAGCAATAGCCAATTAACACAGGAGTGCTTTGGAATATACAGATCCAAATTCTTTCTTTAGAAAGAGGAAGCTAATTACAGTCATAGTTGAGTTCAGGAATAAGAATGTCAGGTTTCACAAGATTACTGTGAATAATGGAAAATAGGGAATTCTTCTCTAAAGTTTACTTGGAAGATCCTCTAACTCCCTTCATGTGTCTGGCATGATTCTGTGAGTAATATTTTCATGTCAGGGTACAGCAATGACTTACACTGCCTGTTCAGTTTTAATTTCCTTCATCTAGTCTTTTATCCTCAGTTGGACACAAACGGCAAACAACTCAGTATAAGGAGGTAGCAAGACCTCACCCAACGTACATCCAAAGCACAAGAATTCCTCCACTGTATAATATATATATATATACGTACTATAAATACATATATATACACAATATGGACTGTGACAAAGGACCTTAATTTACAATAATCTCTTTTCTGGTTTATTAAAGTAACTTTATCCCATTCCCTCTCCGAATCTGATCCTCAGTGACATAACAAGCATGTTTCTTTTTATGTCATCTTGCTCTGCACTCAAATCCTTATAATGCATTCACATTTCACTCAGATTAATACATGGTTCGGACCGGCCTTTCAGAGGTGGCTGTTCTCACACTGTTCCAGTATTCTGCTGTCCTCTCTCATGCTTTCACTAGGTTCTCTGGCCCCATCTGCACTGACATTTCTGTTCTTCTAACTGTGCTAAGTTTGCTTCTACAAGGAAGACTCCTCCAGTGGTTATTAATTCTGACTAGAATGCTTTCACCAGCATAGTACCATGGCAAACTCCCATTTTCTTCAAATCTCCCCTCCTCAAAACCAATCCTATTATTTAAAATTTCAAATCCTCAGCCATATCTGTTATTAATTATTCTTCCTAGTCTTCTATTTTCATTTTGGTTTTTTTTCCATAGCCTTCCAGAATATCTTATGATTTACTAACTCACTGTATTTCTTGCATATTTCTAAATTGAAATGTAAGTTCTATAAAGGCTTGGAGACCATGAATAACTGTGAATTAATCAATATCCACTCATTCTTTTGTAAGATGCAGAGTATATTGTATTTCTTCACACGTCCATCACATCTCACTGTTGAAGCCTACAATTGTCTCTCACTATCAAGATCTGATTGGCTTATTCTTCTTTCTTTATGATAATTGTGTTGTTACTAGCCTAGGATGTGAAATATTCTCTGGGATTAGTTATATGAGCTGAGATTTGAAGTATGCTGTCCAGATTCCTTGGTTGCCTAGTTTTTAACTAGATCCTAGAATGGGAGACACCAAAGAGAATTCACTAGGAAAGAAGGGAGATCCTGTTTATTAACCCATGAGGAACAGCAAGCAATGGACACTATCACATTTCCTCTTTCACCACCTCCAGTACCAACTAACGTTTCAAGTACTCTCTAACTTACCAACTAAACCGCTTTTCCTCAGCTCGAGGTAGAAACCAAACTTTCTTCTCAGAGCCTGTGAGTTTTCAGAAGCAATGTCTCTTGTTCCGTTTTATAATCCCAAGAAAACCATGCTACTGCTCTGTAGGATTGACTTTCTGGATTAGCTATACACCTTGCTTTATTCTTTCAATAGTTTGATGGATATAGCACTCAATGCTCAGAGTGACCAAAGGGGATTCCAGTTTGAATTGGTTTTGAGCACAATATGAAATTCTTATCAAAGGAAAATACAGTATTATCAATGGCCTACAATATCATGTGAAATGAAATTATTATCTACAGTTTCTTTTTTATTTTTCAGTTTAAATTTAGATAAGAAACAAGGTTGCTTCACAAGTCAGTTCCAGGTCCCTCTCCCTTTCCCTCCCCTCCTCCCATGCCCTCCCCCCAACCCCCCCATTATCCCCTCATTTCCCCAGGGAGGGTGAGGCCCTCCATGGGGGTGTCCATAGTCTGTCATTTCATATAGGACAGGGCCTAGACCCTTCCCCAAGAGTTCAGGGTGAATGTGCACCTCACATTGTTGGATGGGAGTCCAAAGTCCATGTGTATACTCGGGATGGGTACTGATCTGCTGCCCAAGGCTCAATAGATTACCTAGGCCTCCTCACTGACACCCACATTCAGGGGGTCTTGATCAGTCCCATGCTGTTTCTGTGGGTTAAACCAGCCCATTTTTTAGATAATAAGACAATCAAAGAGACAAGACTTTGAAAGTTCAGGTGACATTTACACCAATACATAGCAAAAAAATTTTCTGTTACAATGACTAAGGGTATAACTTGTATTCTTACAGTGGAAAATTTACAGAGTGAAAACAAAACCAAGGACTATTGACCTTGCAAACTACCACTAAAATAAACTCTATTACCAACAAAACAAAAACATACATTATATACAGATTATTAGGCATATTTTTCTGTTATATCTTACTGTTTTATGCTACCTATAGGACTGAAACATAGGTGCTCTTCTCAGTTTTACCAAGTACAGAATTCTCTCACATACAAAACAAAAATGTGATAGGTATTTATCCAAAAAATTTTAATGTAAATGAGCAACCTAGAGCTGCCTCAGAGAAAAGATTATAGTTCAAAAACACAACAGCAGGGAGTGGCAAGATGGCTCATCAGGTAAAGGCAGTTGTTTGCAAGCCTGGTAACCTGAGTTCAATTCCCAAAACCGCCATAAAGGTAGAAAGAGAGAAACGACTTCATAAAGTTGCTCTGTGACCTCTTCACGTCCACTTCAGTATGCATAAGCTCCCTCAGGCACATCATTCATTCACACACACACACACACACACACACACACACACACACACACACACACAGAGTGACGATGATGATGATGATGATGATGATGACGATGACAATTTTTTAAAGAAAACAGGGCACAAAAAATTGGAGGGAAAACATGGTAGAGAGAATGCCCTTGCAAAATCAAGGCATTTACAAGTATCTGTGTATACTGGAGTGTTTAGAAAAGCCAAGCACGTGTCCTAAGCAAGAGAAGTCTGAGTCTATTTGGGTAGCTGTAGCAAAATATCACAGTTGAATAGCTTACAAATGACACAGGTGTATTTTTCATGGTTCTAGAGTTGGTAAGCTTATGAGAAGTTGTCAGTATATCTGATTTCATATGCAAACCTTTTTTGTTGTGTAGCTGTCAGTCTTCTCACTGTATGCCCAAATGGTGAAACAATTAAAGATTTTCAACATATAAATTTTAGACAGATACAAATATTCAGTGTAAAGTTGTACATGAACATATGAAATTTTACAAGAGGCTAAGCATATGTGCCTGGTTTATTTCAAGGCTCAGGAGATACTTGATACTGTCTGACAGGCCCCAGCATATATTTATTCTGTAAAAACATTTTTTAATGGTGTGCCTTTAACGAGGGAAATGTTCAGGGATCTACAAGGGTGGCCCCAACTAATAATCTAAGCAATAGTTAAGCAATAGGCTACCTTAACTGACCTTCCCCGATAATGAGATTGATGACTACCTTATATGCCATTCTAGAGCCTTCATCCAGTAGCTGATGGAAGCAGAGTCAGACACCCACAGCTAAACACTGAGCTGAACTCCTGGAATCCAGTTGCAGAGAGGGAGGAGTGATGAGCAAAGGGGTCAAGACCAGGCCAGAGAAACCCACAGAGACAGCTGACCTGAACAAGGGGGAGCTCATGGACCCCAGACTGATTGCTGGGAAACCAGCATAGGACCACCGACCCAGACCCTGAGTGTCAGTTAGGAGACCTGGGCAATCTATGGGGCCTCTGGCAATGGATCAGTATTTATCCCTGGTGTATGAATGGACTTTGGGAGCCCATCCCACATAGAGGGATACTCTCTCAACCTAGACACACAGGGGAGGGCCCTGATCCAAATGATATGACAGATTTTAAAGATCCCCCATGGAAGTCACAGAAAGGGGATGGGATAGGGGCTGGTGGGGGCAGGGGAGAAGGGGAGGGAGAGGGAACTGGGATTGACATGCAAAACAAGCTTGTTTCTAATTTAAATTTTAATAAAGGAAAAAAATGGTGTGCCTTTATTTAGTATCTAGTAGTCAGGAAAATTAGTGCCAAACATGAGATGAGCACAATCTAAATGTAAATGGATTGAGCTCTCCAAATAAAAGACAAATGTGGGCAGAATGAATAGAAATAGTGGCCCAATAAAAGTCTACAAGCAACTCACCAAAATTCCAAAGCCAAGAGTGTAGTGGAAAAGTTTAGTTTAT